GGTCCCGGGGCGCGGTTTTGGCACTTTGGGGGTTCGTCGAATGCGGACCACCACCCCGTAGCCCCCGACGCGTGCACGCGCCCCGCGGGGTCGCGTTCAATTTATTTGTGCGCACGCGCGCGTTTGAACGTGAACGCGCGTTCACGGCGTTCATACGATTGCACAGCCGCCCCTTATTACACTCTCACTCTTGAAGGTGGCGCCGCTGCTGGTATTACCATTGGTTTTGCCGTGAACCACGGTAGAAAAACCGTAGAATTGACTCTCTCTCTCTCTCTCTCTCTCTCTCTCTCTCTCTCTCTCTCTCTCTCTCTCTCTCTCTCTCTCTCTCTCTCTCTCTCTTTCTAAGCCATAAGTCGCTGTACCTTCTCAAAACAACAGTAAAGATGACATTGTCAACAAGTAATCCCTCCCTTGAAGTTCCCGACTTGGCAACAGAGCCTGTGTTCCCTGACACACTAGAATCAACAACGACATCTGCTAAGCCTTCACAGTCTACACATCATATTAAACTAATCTAGCCTGTATTACAGCCATGTTCAGTATGTACAAAGAAAAATTAAACTTCAGCTTACAGCGACTGCAGAGTCACTCAGACTCACTCTACTGTCAGTCGATCCAAACCGAAGTTATGTAACCAACACTGAGTTTGAGTCGAATTATATTCCTGTTTCGGGAGAGAAACTCAACTTCGAGTGTAATAGCAATTATCCCACGGTGTGAACAATGAATCTCACCTATGATAGTTTCATACGGACAAGCTAACCGGGACACGTCTCAACTATCTGAATCTGCACCCGAGTGAGTCAGCCTTCCCACTTGTTCTTCTCTTTGTTGCAAACAAAGGTCGTGTGCTAAAGCGCATGCTATATAGCAGTGGCGACCCAATTCAATCCCTGGCTCAGCTCCATATCAAATTACAGGATACAGGTGCTACCTGTACAACCAAAATCGTGCCCGTACGTACTACAGCCAGATGAGAGAAGTCGACTAGGTGACAACCTAATTCCTTCCCCTGACACAACCCGACTGGAAGCACAGCCAGACTAGAAAGGAAGAAACAGGTTGTCGGCACAGTCCATATCAGACAACCAATGGTCGTGCACCTCAGCTATCTTAGACATGGGAAATCAAACTAATGAACAAACCAGCACCCAAGACCCGGTACAAACCCCCCAAATTTTAAAGAAGTTGGCACTCCCGCTCTTGAAACTGCCAATGCACTCCCACCATTACTGCATGTCGTCTCACTACCAACAGCGATGCCACCCCAGTAAGTTGCGTGTAGGGTTTGCCGCAGCCCCTGCAGGATGTAGTGAATGTAAGCCAAAAATATCGCCAGATGCGACCCAGGCGTGATGAATCCCGCTGTATCCTTGATATTCTAGACAGCACTCCCATCGCCAGTACAAGCTCTCCCACTGCTTGCAATGACGCTACTGCCATCCTTCACATGTTGAACCCCGACTAGCCGGGCAATCACGATTGGTCTCCTCGATGGCTCTCCAAAATGATCCAGATATGCTTCGTTGTAAGCTCCCAACATCCACGTGTCACTTCAGCACAGGCCCTCCCGAAACTGCCAGAGCAGTTGAGAGTTGTGTGTTGTGAACCTGGTTGTTTGTCATCTGAAGACCAACACTCACTCACATAGACTTCCAGGTACTATACCTATACATACACAGAAGGAAGGGAGAGGATGGGAGTATCACACCGCACAGGGTGATACAAACACAATGGAAGACTTAGCCATGCGATATGACAGAGTACACGGAAAGTGCAATTCACTCCTGGACCACAGAATCCTCACAACCAGTCACAAAGGAAAGCCGAGTAGATCACATCCCGAAAACAATGAAGCAAAGATAGTTCACACACAGTATTAACACTGTTTATTAAACTCAGAGTAACTGTTTTGAATTGTCTGAATAACCCAGAACTGTGATGTGCTGCTCAGAAATGAGCAGCGCGCCTTCCCCCAATCCTGAACAACCGCTATCACTACCCCTGAGTCCCTGAAACAACCAGCGCCACCCAAATACTGCCTCCAGAGGGAAGCGCCACCCAGAAACTGGCCTCTGAGGCCAAGCGCCTCTCACTGGCTTTCAGAGGATGAAGAAGAAGACCAGCGCCATAGTCTCTGATGATGATGAAGTGCCACAAGACCTCACGGATGGAAACCTGCAGCAGCACCACCTCTCCTGACAAAGATGATCTTTGAGGATGAAAGTTGCAGCTATGGCTGCAACGCCACACACCCTGACACCCTACTCCTGAGGAGGGTTCAGCGGGGCACCAACTTCTCCTGCCTCCAGCAGACTTCAGATATGCCAGACCTCTGAACAGCCCTGCATGCGATCAGAGAACAACGAAGGTCCCAACTATGGCCGACACTTCAAAGATCTGGCTATGTGTGTCTCCTCCAGCGCTGAAACTGTACCACTCCAGTTCATGAGTTGAGTCGTCGCGATGTGCATGGTACCCACTGCCAAAAGCCTCAAACAGTTTTTCCTCCAGCTATTCATAGTCTACCCTAGCCTAGACACGACCTAGAACGGACTGACTGGACTGACCGGTACCTTTTCAGTTCGGCCTCTACAACCTCTCCCTACCCGGGTATAGGCTATAGGACCGTCTAGCAGCATACGCCGATAGGCCTTTCTGGTCCTAGTGGTAGCCCGGATCTGATATTTGCAGTTAGGGTAGTTGTAGGAAACTCGACTTAGTGCGTGCCTGCAATTCTATGAATTTACAGATATGTCCCTGACGAATTTTCCTTACAGTCAGATCTTTCGGTTAGCCCTCAGCCAAACAAAATAACAAAACTAGCCTACCTATGTTACAGCCTCGGGTCGATGGGTCGCAGGCCGCAAAATCAGCAAGTCATTGCAGCCCTACCCTCCCCCGGAGTGAGGACCTCCAAGCTAGGAGTGCAGGCGTGCAGAGCCTCAGGGGTATTGTCCCCTTTTAGCTGCCTCATACTTGAAGACAACAGACTTGGTTGTCTTGAGGAGCTCCCTGCGTGTAAACCAGCGATCCTCAGTGTGAGGCTGGTATAGGAACGTTACAAGATACTGCATGTCTGGGCCTGTGCCCATCTCATACTCAATCGACTCCACTTCATATCCCTTCCCAGGGACCGGTGGACCGTATTGAGGGGGTTTGTCCGAAAATGCATCAGCTGAAGTAAAAGGCAACAACTTAGATGCATGGAAGACCGAATAGGTTTGTAGATGCAGAGGGACGTCAACATTATAGGATGGTTCGAAAAGATCAGCTCCCACTGTATCTAAAACCTGCCATAAACCCATACATCGTGGCGACACCTTAGGCGAAATGTCCTCCTCACGTGATAGTCAAAATTGAGCAAGCAAACTCAGCCACTTGTGCGAATAGTAGAAGGACAACTATGCCTGTTAGCCTGCTGGGTCGTAGCCTTTTGGGTTTTCAGCACGTTGTTACAGACGCATTCTATTTCCACACGATAATGCCTGGTGAACTTTGCGGTTTCAGATGTTAGTGTAGGGTAGCCTTGTCGATGATATCATCGAGAGGCTGTCGAGGTTCAGGGCTCCAGTGTAACCTGTAGGGTGTGAAACCAGTGGAGGAGTGGACAGATGTGTTATACACTAGCTGTGCAAGACTCAGATGTAAATCCCAGTCCTGTTGATCTGATCACACGACGCAGCAACTGAAAATGGATTTGGTTCATCATTTCAGC